ATAAGGKGGGAAAAAACTTAATTAGTAATTTAAAAATCCTCCCCTCCCCCCCAAAAAAAGCCCAGGCCCACATGGCTGCATGGTGAATTCTATCAAATATTTCAAGAAGAAATAATAACAAGCCATTACAAACTCAGGAGGAAACACTGTAATTCATTCTCTGAGGTCACTATTACCCTGATACTGAAACCAGACAAAGATACAAAATACTATGGACTAAGCCTGACCTGGTGGTACATGCCTGCAATCCCAGCTAACTTAAGAAACTGAAGCAGAACCAACAAGTTCAAGTCCATCCTGGGAAACTTAGTAAGAGTTCGTCTCAAAATAAATAAAAAGAGCTGGGGGTCAATCCCCAGTAATTGGGGAGAAGGGGGCGGAGAGGGAGGAGGGAAGATACTACAGATCAGTGTCCCTCAGCAAATTTTAAAAGAATTTAATTCATTTTTAAAATTTAAAATCAATTATATGCTACAACCAAATTCTAGGAATGCAAAGTTGGTTTAATAACTAAAAATAAAATTTATATACCATGTTAGTAGAACAAAAACATAGAATGCAAAATCTAATACCTATCCATTATAAAACTCTCTTAGCCTGGTATAAGGCGTGTTCATTTTCTCTCTCTCTCTCTCTCTCTCTCTCTCTCTCTCTCTCTCACACACACACACACACACACACACACACACACACAATCTTAATGATGAAAAACTCAATTCTTCCCTTACCCCCTGAACTAGAAACAAGGTAAAGTTGTCTCTTCTGACCACTTCTATTCAACATTGTATCAGATTGAGGACTAGAGGTACCATTTGGTGCAATCAGGCAGACTTAGATGAATAAGTAGATTTAAAAAAAAAAAAAAATGGATGTCTGATTATATCACTTCTCTACTCAAAATTCTCCAATGGCGTCTTACTTCACTCAGGATAAAGCACTACATGATTTGCCCTGTCTACCCTTGTGACTTCTTTTCGATATTCCACTCTCCCCCTTGCTCACTTACTCTCTAGTCTCACTGGTTTCCTTTTACTCCTAAAATACAATAAGCATGCTCCTGTTTCAGGATCTCTGAACTTCCTGAACTCCAAACTGCCAGAATGTTATTTCCCAAGATACACATATAGATCACTACTACAGTCCCAGCAGATTCCTGGGTAGATCTTTTCTCAGGGAGGCCTTCTTTGATAATCAAGCTGCTCACTATTTCCTTATCCTGCTTTATTTTTCTTCACATTTATTCATTTATACACTTCTTTTTTCTTCTTCTGTTTTTTTCCCCAGTAACAGGGATTGAACTCAGGGGCACTCGACCACTGAACCACATCCCCAGCCCTCCCACCACACTTTTTTTTTTTTTTTTTAAGTTTTGGTTGTTGTTTTAAATATTTTTTTTTTAGTTGTAGATTTAATTCATTCATTTATTTTTATGTGGTACTGAGGATCAAACTCAGTGCCTCACACATGCTAAGCAAGTGCTCTACCAGCTATAACCCCAGCCCCCCAGTCCTTTTTTATATTTTATTTAGACACAGGGTCTCACTGAGTTGCTTAGTGCCTGACTTTTGCTGAGACTGGCTTTGAACTCATAATCCTCCTGCCTCAGCCTCCCTAATCACTGGGATTACAAGCATGTGCCATCACGCCCAGCTTCATTTATATACTTTCTTCCACTAGAATATAAACTCCATGAATTAGAAATACAAGGGAACTTTCTTAGCCTGATAAAAGCCATCCACAAAAAAACCCCAATGATGAAAGACTGCATACTTCTCCCGCCCCCACAAGAGAAAACTTTTTTATTCACTGGTACATCTCAAATACTTAAAATAGAACCTGGTTCATAGTAGAAGTTCATCAAATACTCAATAAATGAATCATGAACAAGTATCTTCAAAAAGAAAAATTTATATTGGAAAATGACGAGAAAAGGTTTGGAAACTCCTGGCCCACTAGGTTGAGAAGGACAGGGTTTTTAGGTCATAAAAAAAGAGCCAATATAGGATAACATTAAAAACTTAGTTCTCTGGAGCTAAATTCTTTTGGGTTCTAAGCTTAGCTCTTCTGCCTACAGGTCCCTAAGTCTCAGTCATTTATAAAGCAAGAATATCACCACCTACCTCCTAAGTTGCTATGAAAATGAAATTCATGTATAGTATTCATTATATTAGTGATAATATAATAGATGCTATAATTAATTAATGCAACATTTTCTGAAAATTCTGGCCTTCAAAAAAGAATTTAAAACAATGGTAGAAATTATATAGCTCCACCCGTATCTTACTGATGCACATAGACTACTGCCCTCCAGTCTGCTGTTTTAACTTCTCTTTCTTATCATTTTCTTTCACCCTTCCCATTACTAACAGCTTTCAGGTATCACCTCCAGCAGCTATTAATATAGTACCTCCTCTCCCTTTTTTAATATGTTGCTTTTTTTTTTTTTTTTTAAAGAATTTTTAATATTTATTTTTTAGTTCTCGGCGGACACAACATCTTTGTTGGTATGTGGTGCTGAGGATCGAACCCGGGTCGCACGCATACCAGGCGAGCGCGCTACCGCTTGAGCCACATCCCCAGCCCTTAATATGTTGCTTTTAATCATACTGGGGGTTAGAAACTAGAATGCTAAATTTATTATTAACAACACATAAAAACAAGAATTAGCACCGGCTTAAGGATGACAACCCTTTGCTTCCCTCTTGTTTTTTATTTAGGTTCTGGAAAAATGAGGCTGTTAGCTGAATCTATTATAAGGATAACTCTACATTATACATTTATTTATATAGAAACTTTTTGTACTGGGAATTGAACCCAGGGGTGCTTCACCACTGAGAGACATCTCTAGTCCTTTTCTTTTTATTTTGAGACAGGATCTCACTAAGTTGCTGAGGATCTCACTAAATGGCTCACCTCCAAGTTGCAATCCTCCTGCCTCAGCCTCCCAAATAGCTGGAATTATGTGCCACCACACTCACCTTGAAACCATTCATATTTTAAAATAGTAGTCAAACTGTTTTAGGAAAAATATGATCTACCCAGGCCATGGAAAGGCCAGAAACTGTAGAAGTTTAGACTACCAAGATAAAAAGAGGTGTCAACAAGAGCCTGGAAACTCATAGTATGAAGAAAAGGTTGGAGTTGGCTATGTGAAATCCAAGAGCACCAGGTGCGGATGAGACTCCTCCATGGCCCCTCAGGCAGAGAGACAAAATGTCCATTAGGGAAAGAGCAAGATGACAGGAAACTGGAATGACTATAGTTTTCAATAAGATATGCAACTACAGTATAAATGCCTTTTTCACTATAATTTGGGTAAGTGAGGGAAGGGGACAAGAAATCTGATCAAAATAGGAATAGCTTTCTCCTGAGATGACACTAAGGAAACAAGGCAACTTCTCAGAAAAACCATTCCGTGAGAACAGACTTACACTAGGATAGACTCTTGAAAACTGCTTTAATATCTATGCCAGCAGTGGCCTTGCAGCCAGGGCATAAATGCATTTAAAGCCACATTCTGCAACCTGCATGCTGTAAACTGCAGCTGTGAATGCTGTCTGGCTTTGTCATCTGTGCTCTGGAATCCTTTTCCTTATGGAAAAACTGAGCTGCTGTGGGAAGGGTCAGGAGAAAGGAAGGAAGAGAAGGTATGGGAGATGTTCTACAACAGAAATTCCCAAAGGAAAACCTTCCCTTTTACTTTGGTGAGTAGTAGAGTGGCAAACAAGTCAGGGGCTGAGATCCTACAGATAGTTATAATGCTTTCATCTCATTTTCTTCTTTCTTGTTTCTTTCATGCTGCTTTATGGTTCACAATGTGGCATTTCTCATTAGTTTCTCTACAACATCCCCGCATGGTTGTCAAACACACAAAGGTTGGGGGGCAGGCAGGCATTCCAATTTTACAAATAGGGAAATAAAAGTTGTCGAAGGGCACACACTGAAATAGATAAAAACCCAGGTTTTCCAACTTCAACCCAACTCTCCAAGTTCCCAATTTGTGTCAGTCAAATGTTTATGGGATCCATGTGTTGGACATTTTCTTCTCCTTCCAGTCCTATTTAGCTGGGTTTCTGCCTACATAAAGGTTTTTCCTATCTCAGTCTTTGAACACCTTTCCTCTAAAAACTGTTGCTCAGAAGGGATCACTAATTCCTGACTGCCCTTCTGAACCTCTCAAATATAGAATCCTTAAAGAGGTCTATCTTTATGAATTTTCTAAGAAAAACTAGGATACTAGAAAGATTAGCAGTGCAGGAAAAGCCATCAAATCAGGAAAAACAAGGGTATTATTTACATTTAGACTGAACTAGGTACTACAATCAGCTTTATGGGGTGTCAGGCATAAAGCCTGAAAAATTTTTCAGGCTTCCTAAGCCTCAACTTCCTTATCTTTAAAATGGAATTGTCTAAATAGATTAAAGGAAATCTAACAAAATAAGTTCTTAGTATGTTGATTTCCTTCCCTTCACTAGCTGTGGTCCTCCTCCTTCTTTCCTGACTTCCCATTCATATAGCCTTACTATATAACTCAATCACCACCACTACTATCACACTTTTCAGGACTAAAAGAATTATAGGATTTCCTAAGGCTAACCTAGGGTCTAGGTAGGTCATGGCAGAGACTGAAGTCAAGAAAGCCTCAGAGTTGTGGAGGTCATATTGAAAGAGCTTATGGGAATACAGGCAAAACTGCCAGGTCCCAGGATACCCCCCAGCAGAAAGCAACTGGCAGAAGCAAGAAAGAAGTAAGCCTGCTTTGCCTTACTTATAGTAAATAAAAATGATACCAGACATTCTCATCGCAGCTCCAAGAAAGTTATCTCAACACTACTCCCAGACCAGGAGGCTACCTATCCCAATATCCAATCTTTTAGTCATGCCGTAGGAAAGTAATCACCTGTAAGTTATCTGTACTAAGGGTAAAAATAATCCCCAAACTTGTTAGCCTGTATCTTAGCCCTAGCTTGCCCAAAGTCTGACCAAGAACTCTCACTCACCAGTATTGAGGCTGGATTTAGCCAGTTATTTCCTCCTTTGGGTTACAGGGTTAGCAGCAACTGCCTCTGGGAACAGTCCTCACCTATAACAGAGAGAGAAGTCCATTAGGGGTCCTGTTCAAAATAGACGTTAACTTAGGATAGTATGGGCATTAAAGTTCCTACCCTCATACATTTTGCACTTTTTTTTTTCCAGACAGTGCTAAGTGCTATTTAAAAAAAAAAAAAAAAAAAATCAAAGCAGGGTAAGGAAGGAAAGAAATAACAAGGAGAAAGAGTAGAATTCTATTTCACATAAAATAGTCAGGAGCTGGGCATGGTGGCACATGCCTGTAATCCCAGCGCTTTGGGAGGCTGAGATAGGAGGATAGTGAGTTCAAAGTCAGCCTCAGCAAAAATGAGGTGCTAAAATAACTCAGTAAGAATGTTCTAAATAAAATACAAAGTGGGGCTGGGAATGCGGCTCAGTTGTTGAGTGTCACCAAGTTCAATCCCCGGTACCACAAAAAAAAAAAACAGAAGGTGGCAGAAAACATGTTCTCTAGGCTCTAGGTGATATGGCTCAGAGCTCCCTACCCATTTACAAGCTAGCCTGATATCCTCTCCATTTACCTGCAATCCAGTATAAAGACTAAAGAGTCCTTTAACTTGTGTTTTTAAGGAATACAAGTTAAAGGACTCTTTAGTCTTTGAGCCAGGTGGTTCCAAAGACTTCTCTAGTCTATAATCTGTAGCTTCTGCGAGGACCAAACCACAATGAAAAGAGCCATTTAGAATAGCCACTATCATTTACCTCACACTTGGAAATAGATTAGGTTCTAAGCTAAGCACCTTATATGCACTATCTTGTTTCAGAGAAGGAGTGAGAATTATTTCAAGATATAAACAGAGATCTGGTAAGGGGGGACTCCACATCTGGAACAAAACGGCAAAAACAAAGACCTGAAAGATATCTATAGGCCCAGGTCAAAGGAGGGCAGGTGAGCGCACGGACTGAACTAGCAGCAGCACCTCCAACTCCACATGTCAACAAGGTGAACTTGTCTTCTATTTCCCAGCCTCCAAGGTTTAGCAAGTGGTATAATCATTTCCTCATGTTTTTATTTTTTTTATTTTTTAGTTGTAAATGGATCTTTTATTTTATTTATTTATATGCGATGCTGAAGATCAAACCCAGGGCCTCATACATGCCAGGCAAGTGCTCTATCACTGAGCCACAACTCCTTCTCTTCATTCTTAGGACTCCAAATGTTCTTACTGTCAATCCCACCTTTCCCTTTTCCACAACTGCCAAGTCCTTGTGTTTTATTTTGGTTTTCCCTCTAAGGGCTGTATATTCACATGTTTTTTCCTTTATTACCTACTGTGTTAACTTCTTTTTCTTCTTGCCTATCTACCTACCTACATACTTACCTATCAAGTGCTCAGTGGGTATCAAACCCAAGGCCTCATGCATGCCAGGCAAGCACTCTACCACTAAGCCACATCCCCATCAGCCTTCAACTTCCTCTTGATTAAGGATCGAATCAGCAGGGCTGGTGGTATAACTGAGAGGTAAGGCACTTCCCTTGTATGTGGCACACGTGAGGCCCTGCGGTCAATCCCTACCACCAAAAAAAAAAAAAAAGGATCACATTATCTCCTCCACTATTGGAATATTTCTTAAAAATTACTAGCATTACAAGGACAGACTATCATAGTAATCTCCCATCCTACTCCAACCCACTGCATCCACACTGTGAAATGGTCCTAATGCCACTCCCCTGCTAAAAAAAATAAAATAAATAAAAAAAAGTCAAGGTTCCCTATCACCTCAACCTTGCTCTCTCTAGGTATGCCATGATCTGGTCATCATCTGCCTTAACCTCTAGTGAGCATACCCCCCAGCTCCCATACTTTTGTCCATGCTGTTGTTCATTTGTACATATTCAAATACTTCTTAATTTTCAAAGTCTGCAAAGCTATAAAGTTATTCTGAATATTTTCTCACCACTCTATGGCCTTACTATATATACATGGTTCTGAGTTAGGGCTTATGGAGAATGCAAGGATGATTGTGAATAGTCCTCATCCTCAGGCATCTTGCAGTTCCAGTGTATCAAACCCCCACAAATGACTGCTAAGAATATTAGGCAGGATCTAAAATTGAAAGAACTCATATATTTGAAAGTGGATAAAGAAATCAGTCTGACCAGGTCTCTCAAGTTTCACAGAAGTGAAGATTTAAACAAGGTCTTAGAACAGGGAAAGACACTACTATGTCCAGGCACTGGGCTAGAAGTTAAACTATTAATCCTCATAATATCTTATAACACGCCCATTTTACAGCCAAAGTAACTGAAGATAGGTGAGGTTAAGTAAGTGTGTCATTCGCAATCAACCAGCCAGAAATTTGCAGAGCTAGGATGTGAACTGAGGCTTTGCCAAAGCCTATGTGTTTTCTCTTACTTTATATAGGTCCATCTTACTTCATTACAGAGCAACATGAAAGTAGGACCAAATAAAACTCTAAAGTTCCTTCTACCTTAAAATTCAAATTATTTGTCTTAGGTGCCTTTCGCTATGTATTCTCTGCAAGACTTTTCTTATGGCAGGATTAGGGTCTTATTAAATGTAACAGCTCAAGCACCTGCCATAGCCTAGCAGATAGAAGATATTAAGTATTTGAGGAACATATGTTTGGACAAACCCTGCCCCATCAACTTTTGTTCTGAAGACTAAAAGAAAGGTCCAAAAACTCAACTTCCATGTTCTGTCAGCCTCAGAATCTACACCAATCTCAAGTACCTAACAGTCTATTGATTGGAGGTATCCTTTTCTTATTTTCAAGAGTAAGGGGGAAAGTGAGGAAAGAAAAAGATAAGGGAGGTTGGGCAGGAGTAGAAAAAAAAGAGAGGAAGAAAAAAGTGGTGAAAGGAAAGAAGGTAAGGAAAGAGACAAAATGAAAGAAAATGTTGGGCAGGATTGAAATGTCTGAGGCCTCAAGATTGAAAAAGGTTTCCTTTACTTTCTGGTTCTAAAATCAAGGTTTTGTTCTGTTTTTAGATTGTTTTTAGAGTAGTAGTAGAAAATTCCTTTTTATAAATTTTAAATGAAGGGAACTTGCCTATCTAAATCCCAGATCAAATCTGTCAGCAAGAGGTAAAGTGAAACACTTAAGCTTCCCAGGATTCCCATCCCCAATCCTCACTAACTGTCCCAGCCAACCACAATCTGGTTTAGGCTGAAGATAGAAGTCAAAAGACCAGAAAGTTCTTCCTCTATAGTCCACTGCTTCCTTCTTTACCAAGTTTATCTCAGACTAGTAAGACCTGGGAGTCTATCTTTTCTTAAGGATACGCAGACACTGACGTGATCTGGAGGCTTCCCCACAGTTCCATGTGATAAATACTTTCTTTGGGAAAGAAAGGTGTTTCTTTCTGATTAGTTCTTCAAAAGTATACAAGTAAACTGGCAAAGTCCCTTCAGAACTGTCTAGGTCCTGGGCCTAGACCTAAATCTCTTTTTTTTTTTTTTTTT